AAATGTTTAAATTTTCAAAATTTCTTCGATATATTTTTGCTGATGTATAAAAACCCATTCTCATTCTCTAAGAATTCAATTCCAAGTAATGTTTTAGTTTGCCTAATACTTTAAGATCAAAAAACTTACTCAGCTGTGAATTACTTTATCTATACTATATTGATCTTTACTAAAAATCACATATCATCTACATATAACAAGAGAATTACATTTGAACCCTTTAAAACCAATTACACCAGTGTATTTTCTTAAATGTAGATTTTCTAAAGTATTTTCAAATTCACAAAACCATTCACGCCTCTTTGATGTAGACCGTAAATGGCCTTGTGTAATAACACACTTTATTTTTCTCTTCGATAAATCCCTCTGGTTGGGTCATATATATTTTTCTCATTTAGGTTTGCATATAAATATGCAATTCTTTACATCTAACTGACAATTAGTTCATCCATCTAAACATACCAGTATATGAAAAATATTATGATTGAAAATTTACTACAGGACTGTAAACGTCATCAAAATCTTCACCTCTTTTCTGCCTGATCCTGTGCTACTAAGCGTGCTTTGTATCTAACCACTTGATTCTTTTCATTCGTTTTAGCATATAGACCCATTTGTTTTCCTATTATATTTTTATTTTCTGGCTTTTCGACTAATTCCCAAACCTTTCTTTTCTTTTATTGTGTCGATTTCTTCTTTCATTGCCTTATCCATTCTTCGGCATTTAACTGATTTTCGTGCTTCTTTAAAATTTTGTGGGATAACTATTTCTACGGAATTTGCCTCTTCAGACACAGAGCTAGTCTGCTGTTCTAACGAAATTAACTTTCCCCGAGTATTCATTTTTTCCACTAAAATCGAACTTATCTTTTTCATATTTAATATTTCTTGCCTCACAATACTTTTCAATATCATTATAGGATCTAAAACGGGTGTCTGTTCCCTCTACATAATAATATATGTCTGTACGTGTTCCATCTAGCCTTTTAACTGCTTTTCTTTGCCAGTTTAAGTCTGATACTTCTTTCGGAGTAGATTTGTCATCTGACAACTTTATTTCTTCTCTAGAAATTTCCTGTTCTTCATCTGATTCTGCTAATAGCTCAGATTCCTCTAGTCTTTTAAATTTAGGTTTTGATTTCTGTTCCAGGATGCCATTTGCTGCATACAGTTTTTCATCGAACTAAACATTACAGGTTTCTATTAATTTGCGTTCTTCTGGCAGCCATATCCCATAACCCCTAGTTTCCTTCGCATATCCTACCATGATTCCTTCTTTGCACCTCATTTCTAATTTATTCCTAATCTGTTTTGGCACGCCAACATAGGCTTTACAACCAAATACTTTAAAATAAACAACACTGGGTTTCTATTTAGGAACATTTCATAGGGGTTCGGTTGCTTTATGACATATTCGTTCCACGTATGTACAAAACAGCCAAGAGCTTCTGCCCACCATTCTTTTCCCATTTTACCGTCATTAAGCATAGCTTTAACTGCGTCTAATGCCGTTCGGTTTAAAACGTTCACACACACCGTTCTCTTCTGGGTGTACGCGTTCGTGCGTTCAACACTAATTCCATTTTTCGGCTAAGTACCCTTCGAATTGCCTGTTACAGAATTCCCCACCATTATCGGTGCGTATACTTATTAATTTTCTATTCGTCAGTCTTTCCATTTGCCTATGATAATTCTTAAAGTTGTAGAACGATTTGTTTTTATTTTTCATACAATACACTGTTACTAATCTACTATAGTCATCTACAATAGCAAGAAAATATTTACTCCCACCCTTAGATGGAACTGGTAGTGGGCCACAAACGTCTAAATAAACCAACTGCGATGGTTTATCCGATCTCTTCGAACAGATTTAAAAGTTATTCTACTAGATTTAGCAATAATACACGATTTACACCTCTCTATTGGTTTTTTAATTTCTGGTAACCCTTTCACGCTTTGATTCTTACTAGTTTTTTAATATAATCAAAATTTACGTGCTAAATCTCCGATGCCATAGCATTGCATCGTCTACTTTATTTAACTTTCCAATTTCTGTACCGTAACCAGCTTCCCTTTTACCTGTTGCATATCTAAATGGTTTTACGTGATAAAGTCCGTCATATCGTTTAGCATAGCATAATCTATCCCAATTATTAAAGTATATCCACATCTTCCCTTTTGAAATCACAAAATGAGCACCAGCCTTTCTAACCTTGCTCCCGATAATAAATTTCTTCTTAGATTTGGATTATGTAACACATTATCTAACTCAATCCAATTTATTCGATTGCCTACTTTTACTGCAAATTTGACAGTACCCTTTCCTAGTACTTTACTTTCACAATTTCCTACAGCTAAAGACATACATATATCGTTTATTTCTTCAAAATTTGTCATTAAATTTCTATTATTACAGAAATGAGTTGTAGCTGCATATCTAAGACCCAATTAAATTTATCTGCGTTACCTCCTTTATCTGTAGTTGTTACATAATTTTCTACTAACATTAATTCTTTATCTTTAAACTGTCCATTTTTATCGTCTATTTTAAACTTCTGATTTTTTACTTACATTTTCTTTACATTGAGCAATTAAGTGCCCCAAATTTATGACATCTGAAACAAGGTCCTATTCTCATATTCCCCATTTTTTTCTTAGATTTAGTTTTATTTTCAACTTTATCTTTCCTGCGTTTAACTAATAGTATTAAACACGCTTACCTTGCTGTCTTCTAAATCGGCAATTACCTGGCGAAGTCAGCTTTCTTCCCTTACCAGCTCTTCAGCAATTCTTTCCAGTGTAAAATCTTCGTCCTTCCACCTATAGATCAATTGTACAATGCCGGAGTATTCCTGGGGTAATCTCCTTATTGCCTGGAATCCTATAAAAAGATCTGCCAAGTTGTGACCAGCTTCAGCCAACTTCTTTGCAGTCATTCTTATCCTCGCGATAAATAATCCTATTTCTTCATTTGGCGTATATCTAATACTAAAAAATTCATCCAGTAACTGAATTATCCTTGCTCTTGTTTTGGGTTCGAATTGCTTCTGTAGAACTTCCCACGCTTCTTTACCACTTGAACATTCTTGTATCAGCGGCCTGAACTCAGCTTTAAATCCGTAATATAATGTAGTGAAGGCTCTGTTCTCTCTTAGTGTGAACTCCTGCTTTTCACGTCTTGTTGCACTTTTATCTAATTCTTCTTCTTTGTCCTCTATGAAGCTCCAACAATTTTTATCCAGTAACAGCATTTTCATGTCGACTTTCCATCGATCCCAGTTGTCATGGTTTAACAACTCAAAACCTTCAGGTAGTAATATCATCTTCAATTAAGTGTGAGCACAATGACTTGAACAAACTTCTAAGAAAGGTCAGCTTCTTTTCGTGGATAACGGCCCTCTTCACCTAAATTCCTTCAATGCTGAGTTGAACTGGATGACTGATTAGCTGTTGGCGCTGGGCCCATAACCCTGTTGTCAGTGGTGATAAAGGAAAGCATATTTTGTTTCCCTTAAATAAAGCTAAGACTAAACTAAATAAAATTCATGCTTTATTCCGTAAATAAAATAAAAGAGCTAACACTGTAGCCTTTACGTTTAAAATCATTTGATTGAAAGCAAACTAGCATAATGCTAACTTATAATCACACAAGAGAACAAGAACCAGAACCTTCGCCGATACCGGTGTACATATATATTATACTCGGCCAACCCGCCGATCTTGATGTCATCGGCCAATCAGTGGCAACCACGTTAGCTTACCGCCGATCGACCTCCGATCAAAATTTGCATGTGGAAAACTAAAGCCAACAGTTTTTGCCATCTAAACCATATAGGAACCATATAAGAATAATTAGTCTAAAAGAAGGTTTAATTTTCATCAATTTTTAGAGTACTTTTTCATGGATTCGAATAATCTAGCTCCAACTGTAGTTGTTATTAGCTCTTATCATGGTATGTTGATTTTTTTCAGTGGTGTTATCTGTGACTTAGCCTGAAGTATTGGAACTTTCACTAGAACAACCAATAACTTTATTTCTAAAAAAGATGCAGGCTGAAAAGGCTATCTGACTTGCATCTACAAAAGTATGTATGCTCAAGTGGAACTCCATAGTGACATCTAACATCTTGAAATCTGTATATTTTTCAAATGGTGCAGTCGTTTGACCACTTCAGAAATTTTCTTTCAATTTCTTCATTTACTTCATCATTCCAAGATTCTTCCATTTTTCATGCAGCTTTAAGTAAAAGTTTAGCTTGCACTGTAGCAGGTAAAAGAAAGCATATAGGATCAGGTATGTGACTTATGAGTGAAAGAATTTTCTGTGTAGTTATTTTTCCCCCCTTTTTCATCAAGTTTTAAGTTTAGGTATTGATTTCTAAATGTTTATGAATATTTGCCCCATTTGTGTTTCCATACGTGTGACTTAGGAACTGTAGAAAAATGAGCAGGAATTACAGTGCTTTCCCATCCTGTAAGATCAAATATTCCTTCTTTTATTATGTTTGCAGTGGATTCAGTGAAGGTGTTTAACTCTGAAACTGTCTTTATATTTATTATGCTAGTATCAACATTAAATTTGACGCATAGTTTTTTTCAGTACTTCTTTAGAGTATTGCTCTTTCCTCAGTTCTTTGGAGAAATAGTGGCTGATAACTACCATCAATAAAAATGGACTACTGGCAATACCAAATATCACACGAGTGTGATGAAATGTCTTTATTCTACCGTCATCATTATAGCAAAGAAATCGTAAGAAATCTCAATCTGTTTCATTTAGAGATATCTGTAAAAAAGCTCTTCTAATGTCTGAAATCACACCAATTTCATACAAGCAAAATCTTGCTACAATAGAAGAAGTAGTTTTGATCAAATTAATTCCAGTCTGTAAGCATTCATTGCAAAGTTAGCTGATTAAAAGTAAGGATGTCTGATTAAGAAGCTCTGCCAAAGCATCAAAGGCTAGTTTTATTTTCATTGACAATATTGAGGATTTTTCTTTAATGACTAGATGATGTGGGAGGTTATGAGCAATGGGTAAAGACAGCTTCCTTTTGGGAGCTGTCTTTACTCATTGCAACTAATGGTTGCAAGAAGGTAAGGACTCTCCTTCTTGCAACCATTAGTTAAACACTTCATGATACCAGATTTTTCCCAAATTCTTAGTAGCAGATTCCAGTCTTCTCAAAGAAAGGTCATACTTGTAAGGCAGTATTCTCAATTTTTCCAGGCTATTATTCTTACCCTGTGTGTTTACAACCAGAGTCTGAAGGAAAACTTCATTTGTAGCATGTGAATTCAAAGAATCGATTGTTTTCTTTTTTTCTTCCCCCCTCATCATTTTTCTGCTTATGCATTTCACTGGACTTATCACATTCAAGATTGGAAGAAAAAAAATTCAGATGTCCTTCTGAAAAGATCTGACACCTAACATTTGATCAGCATTGATTACTGAGGTGACCATTAACCATGCATGTTCTGCATAAATCTTCCTTTTTTACCAGAGACATTTTTTCATCTAACGGAGTGTAAAACATGTTTTTACAATTACACCTTTCATGATCGCTTAAACAAAACGAGAAGGTATTGCTTCACAATTCATCAGAGGAAGGAATATTTTGGCTAGTTGCCTAGTGCTTGGGATTAGAAAGAGAATAAATATCCACTCAGTTTAATTTTATTTTTTCGTCTAATTGAACTTTTCTTTTCAGAAATTCAGTTATTGCATCAAGACTCAAAATATTTTGTTCAGGTTCAGTAATTTTTCAAGTGATTGCAACACACGAATAGGAATAACACACAGGCATATATAAAATTGTTCCACACCTGATTAGTTGGTACACCCAAACTGCTTAGGGCTCTGAGTTGTGTTAAAAGTTTTTGTACAAACTACTCAAAGAACGTTATCCAAAACAAGTTTTATGTACTCTTGAACATAAAAATTAGCTAAGAGTTCTTTATGGCCATATCTCTCAGAAGTGCTTTCTATAGCTAAAATTTTTCGTTCTTCACAGGAAAGTATTTTACAATATCCCTAGCTTCTGATTAAATTTTTGTTCACTATCAAATAATGGAATTTATCAGCATTCATTATTATTTTCATGTATGTTTTTAAACTGATTAAAGAATGTAAGCTAGCTTTTTAAATCACCTGGGAACATAAACTTTCGGTAGATGTTGGCACAAAGTTTTACATGTATTTTCATCAGCAACTAATTTCTGATTACTCTCTGACAGTGCATTTTGGTTTCATTTAGTTTTCTTTTAATATTATCAAGAAATAATTCCCATTCTAACTGTATCCTAACCGCGTTGATATTCCCCTACAATTTAAAACTCAGGTTCGAATTTTGTATCATCTTTTATAGTATCTAAATAAGCACTGTGTGCCAATTCTAATGTTTCTGTATTCTTTTTGAATAAGAAAAAACACATGTCTGTTTCTTCATATTCAACAGTAACATCACTGAAACTTCATCTAACTTTTTATATGCTTTTGTAAATGCAGAATGTGGCTCACTTGTTTATTTTCATCATTTCCATTTTTGCCTTAAAAGTTTAAAACCTTCAAGGAAAAAATTCAATAACTTCAGTAAACTTTAGTAAAACAATAATTAGCAACTTGGAAAATGGAAGTTTAAGGTAAATCATCTTGCCTCACTCTTTCACACACATCGGACATGTTCTCAACAGGCTTGCCCACCTGAAAATGCCAAATGATGCAGCCATTGTTAATTTAATCAAATAAATGAGTGGCTTGTTAAAAATATGATGAGTTGAAAGATCTTCACTTAAAATACATTTTAATATTCTTCAGTACAGTTCATTATATACATTCACAATATGTAATATCTAAAGGGCTAGAATAATTTCTATCATCTTATCAGTTTTTCAACAACAGCTTTGTTGCCATTCTGTTATAATTAAAAGACATAAGATACCTTTTTTTCATTTTTTAAATCAATATATAGTGCAACAAGACCATAATTCTTAATTTTACAACAAACATTTAATTTTGTGAATTGCTTAATATTATTTAACATAAAATAATTTTTTTCTCCTTTTTTTCAATCATTGCTGTTTAAAGAGTTCGTAGAAATCAGTAACTGTGTTTTGAACTTATGTACAGATATTTTTTCGTAACTATATAAAAAGTATAAATGTATAATTTACATTTGCATTAATGTTTTATTAAGTTCATAACTGTATTTGCAGGAAGTTCTGAAACGAGATTGGCTTTTTAAATTAGTGGGCCATGAAAATTTTAAAATTGGAAACAGCAATTGCTCCATTGTAATATACCCAGCAAAAGGTCTATCTTTTGAATATTCTTTAGTAGTAAATGGAAAACACTACAAGAAATTTAAAGAAAATCAATCAAAAATTCTAAAGACATGGATTGTTGATGTTGATGATGAGCCATCACGTGTCGTATTAGGTAAGTAAAGGTATATAAACTATGCAGTAAAATATTTCTTTACATGTACACTGCTCAAAAAAAAAAAAAAAAAAAAAAAAAGTGGGACAGTGCTATATTTCCCGTTCTACTGGGCCGATTGACAAAATTCAAATTGCGTTCTTCATGTCTCGAAAGCGCGACTTAGGATATATATTAGATTTATATATAGCACTATTCTAACATAGGTATTTTGACACAAAATTGGACTTTTTCTGAAATAACATACCAATTTTTTTACATATTTCGATTCTACGACTCAAATTACGCCTAAATATGAAATTTTGTAAAATTTGGAGCGAAATTTACGGAGAAATTTCACAAATTTATGTTGGCACTTTTTGTTCAGTTTGCGCCAAGAATAGTTCACTTGGCGAACGTCTTAATATATGGCAACCTTGTTTCCTTTCCTGTGAGAGGAAAAAAAGTCACCATCATTCTTTTTTTCCAAATATATTCTTTATATATTTTTTATTATAACTGTTATTATTTTAAGTAATTTTTTCTTTTTCGAATTTCATTTTAATTGTTTTAAGTTGCATTTTTTTCTTTCGAATAACTGTTTTAAAAATTTCTATTTACCTATTCAAGCTGCGTCAATAAGGTGCAGCGTTTATTTTATTTATTTTTTCAAATAGTTTTCTTTATATATATTTATTTGTCATAGTTATTATTTTAGGAAAATTTTAAATTTTATACTTTTATTTTAATTGTTTGTGTTGCATTGTCTCTTCAGATAACTGTTTTAAAATTTTCTATTTATTCCTTCGAACTGAGCATTTTAAATATATTTATTAATATAATTTTCCAGAATTTGATTTTATTTATTTGAATTGCGTTCCTTTCCGAAGAATATTTTGTAACCCAGACTGTGATGCATTTGAAAACTGCATATATTAAAAGAGAAATTACAGTAAAGCACAGTTAACACGCCTTTCAATGTTCCGTTCAGAAAAGAAATATATAAATAAGAGAGATGTCTAATGGACATTTTAACATAGATGACTTGCATACACTGCTTTAAAAACAGTTTAATCATTGTGGCCATTGCTTTACACAGTTTATCCTACATTTGGTTTCTTAAAATGTTATTCATATTTTTAGTCAAATATTTTATTTTTGAAATCGCAAGAATCAAATATCATAAGATTAAAGTTTTAAATTAAAAAAAAAAGTAGAAATATTAAATTTTACGCAAAAATTTATTTTTTATTTTCTTTTTCTTCAGGCATTCTACTTTATTCTTGCTCTTTTTCTTTAGGCATTCTGCAAGTATATTAAAAAAGTATCCAACTTTTCGAAATAATCTTGGTATTTGACAATCATTTTTTAAATAAAGTTATTGCCTTCCATTTCATAAAGGCCCACAAACGGCCGAGCGGTAGAGAGTCGTTGAACACTGGTAGTTCACTCAGGGGTTCGAATCCCGGTAAACGGGCTGGTTACATGGGCGTTTTCGTGGATTTTCTCATGTGTACCATGTATGCTAGCTGGTTTCTCTTAGAAAGTTCATCACGAAGTATTTGGTCAGAGCCTTTATCAGTCTTTAGAGGCTAAACCTTTTGAAGGTATGAGATGAAAGGAAAGTCTGGTTTCATCAAGAGGTTTTGGTTTATTTAATTATGCCTAAGGGAAGGGATGCCTTCGTGGAGGACTTTCTAAGGGAAACTGGCTCGCATACACGTTACATATGGGAAAAACCACGAAAACGCCCATGCAGACAGCCCGTTCGCGAGTTCAAACCTCGACCGAACTACCAGTGTTCAGCGATTACCGCTCAGGCCGCTGTTTCATCAGAGGAAAAAAAAAAACGTCTTAGGTGACATCCACATACATCACTGGATAACTCCTGAATCTTCAAATAATTCGACTGAGAAAATTATGGGATTCTCATTTATGATACGATATGATGTTCTATAACATAATTTAAATTTATACAACCATATAGTCTAAACCAGTGCTCTTCACTTTAATCTGTAATATCGTTTTTGTCTTTCTGTTAACACAAGCTCAATTGATGGTTGGGGTGGTGGTAAACACGTCCAAGTGTTTTCTCTTGAACACCTAAATTCTTTGAAGTATCTGAAGGTATATCAAAAGCCGTCCAACTTTTTGAAACATTTTGACAGCCAAATTTCCCTGCAAATTTTCGCTTACTTTTCTCCCATTTTCTTCTTTCCTTCTACAGTTATTTCAGGCTCACACAAAAAAATTAAGATTTTTTTGATTCCTAGACTTCCATAAATTTTGCATTCTTGTCAATTTTTTTAAAAATCATTGCCAACTGCGTTTCAGCTGAAGACAGCTTTTCTAGACATTTTAACTATAACAAGTAAGAGCAAAGTACCAAACTAAATATTTTAATTAAAAGATTTTGCTAAATGACAAAGAATAAACCAGTCCAGCAGGGTTTATTCTGTACCACAAAGTGACCCGATTCTTATATCGGCTGGAAACAATCTAAATCATATTAAGATCATGTTTTTTTTTATACAATCTATACCGAGAGAAAATTAGCTTCTTAAAACATTCTTTCTACGAGGATTAATATAAAATATTATATTATATATATATTTTAAAGCTGGGACTTGAACCAACTTTCAGACTTTTTAAAGTTTTAATTTACTGGTGATTATATAAAGTTCCAATTTGAATGGTATAAAAGGAAAACTACTGGACCAAATTGTTATCAAACTTGGGAATCGTGTAAAGGAGGTTATGGGAATTTATTTTCCGCGGGGAAAAAAAAAAAAAAAGAGTTAAAAATCACCACCAGGGAAAAATGGCGCTGTATACAATATTGGTTAAATGAAATAAGACATGAAAACATCTGTTTAAAAATGTTTAATAGTTTTCCGAAAAGTGTTACAAAGCATGTTCAATGTAGCGTCCGCATTTTCCGAGCAAAGTTAAACCTGTTACTGCATTCTTAAAGCAGTTCTTAGCATATCAGGAGGAATGTTACGGAGAGTTAGAATACACCATAAACAGTGCTTTTGAGATAACCCATAGCCAAAAGTCACAGAGGTTGAGGTCTTGTGGGAAGAACGGAATTATCGGATATAAGACGTTCATTCGTGAATGTTTCCTAAGTAAACTGTGCGACACACGTGAGGTGGGCCCAGCCCTGCGCTAAAAAAATCGAGTTATCTAAAAATGCCATGTTCCTGCACCATGCAGTTCATGTATCACGAAACATTTTACATTGACTCTAAGTGAGCTGCAATCACAGTGGTCCAGCTGTCGCCTGCTCTTCAGAGAAAAATGGTTCAGTTATAAAAAACTAGTGTCATTCAACATTAAACGGTGTGGAATGACTGCTATGTAATCGAATGCAGTAGGAGGAATGCAATGGAACTAGATAGATAACATAAGGGATTTCTTTGGCCCACATCGATAAAGCGTTTTGAATCAGTATCTTCATATTTTAGTGCCGAATTCAGCTTCAAAAATTAAATTAGCGATCTGTAAAGAAAAGATTTCCAGATTGTACCACTTGTGCTAGTGATTTGCGATCTCACATTTTCTAATCGCTAATTCGTGGTTTTCACGGACGAATTTTCTCACTTACACGATGGCGCACTCGACTTTTACGAATTCAACGCTTTTAAATGGTAATTTCTACTTCAAAGTTTCTTAAGGGTAGCAACATGTTAAACCCGTGTAACAAAAGGTTAAGTTAGATTCCGACCCATATTTCGTTTAAATATTGGCTACGCGCCATTTTCTCCTGGTGGTGAGGTTTCCAACTTCCTTTTTTTCGCGGAAAATAAATTCCCATGACCTCTTAACGGTTACCAAGTTGGATACATTTGATCCAGAGTTTTCTTTTATGACCGTTTTAGTGTGGAACTTTGATTATAACCACTCTGTTATATTATTAAATTTTAATTTGAAGCTACCGTTATATGTATACCATGCGTAAGATTTCGCTTTCATGGAAAAAATAAGAATCGAAGCAAATACACTTAGGATAATGGACCAAAACTAAAAAAAATTCCCTCCTTCCGAAAAATAAAAATTTGAACTTCGACCTTGAATTTATTGGGTATCGAATATTTAATGTGACTATCTGCATCCTTCAGACACGATTCCGTCAAAATCCGAATTACTTAAGCTAAAGTAAAGATTTAGTATATACTCAAAGTCGTTAATTCGACACCCATTTCGGAAGATATAATCCGGACATAAAACTAAAAACTTCTGCGCAGCGCGTGTTGACACATGCAGAGGCGTTCACGCGCGCGCGTAAGACCTTTACGACTCGCATATTAGTGTGCGCAAATGCAGAACGTTTCGCGTGCACATTTTTGTACAATGGACGTATAAGCTAAAATTATCTAATATCTATTTCAGTTAATGTTGAGATTGCGTTGTTCCTTAATTTTCGAATGGCATCCGGCTTATTATTTTTTGCAGACTGTAAAGCAATTTTTAAAAGTAATTAAAACTTTCGATTATATCAAATAGAATTTCCGATTATATATTTTTAATATGTAGGATCTAAAGCGAAAGTGTGTTTGAAAATCGAAATCTGTTTATCAATTTCACGCTGCTCGGCGGGCGGGGCGTAATGAATGGAAGTTGATTTGTCAGCACTATCCTTATCTGCGGCATGTTTTTTTTATTTGGCTTATATCCTACCAAAATGTAGTATTTCATCTCGATATGCTCCGTCTTTGATATGATTAAAACAGTTCCTCGTCATTTATAATTCGCTTCCGGATAGCGAAGAAAAGTGACAGAGGTATTGAAAACAAAAAAATTTCGATTGACAAATTAGTCGGTGTTCTTGACACAGCAATTATAGGACTTGAACGGGGAACTTTGTAACTGAACAAGAAATTATGTCTGTTTATAGAATTAAAGAGAAAGTATTATCACATGAAACGAAGCAAAACTTAAACAACTTACATTGAAAGAAATGTTTAATAAAGTAAACAAATAATATTAAGCTTTTTTTTTTTGAAATTTTGATACCC